AAAAGAAACGGGTTCAATAACCTTGTCAACAGTGAAGCGTTCTTGGCTCGACACCATTTTCAAATTTGTTTACGTTTTGACAACTAGTGCAGAGCGATATAGCTTAGTAGCGCTGATGCGCATGACACATTTTTCGGAGTTGTGTTGACCTGGCGTGAATGCCGAAAAACTGATCCCTTGGTCCAATTTTACGCCAGGAATTGATTTTTGGGGTCAAAATGACCCTTGGGGGTGGGGTGGGCATCACAGACATGGAATTTCGAAAAGTATATTGTTGCCATTGGCAAGTAATTTGAGATGACAAAAGCTGGTATTTTGACTTATAACACAAGTGCGGCTTATAACTATCTGCTGATTTGAATATACTATTTATATGACCTCTTCAAACCTCTTCGGTGACATTCCGGCATCTTTAGCCTAAACACTTGCAGAGAGATATTCAATTCAAGCAACAGTCCCTTCTATCTCGGAAATTAGTGTAAGAACCTTTTCCAGCAGACAATTTTGCGAAATATAAGAGAAAAAGTACTCAGAAAATAAACATCTTGTAAACTCAAAATATGTGCTGTTAAAAAACAAGAAACAATATTCAAGATGATAATTCGATTCTATTTCAAAATTTTTGTCAAACCCTAACTACAATCATTTTCAAAACAGTTGGGACAGGTAACCAAATTACTGATTTATAACACAAACCCAGACCCCGCACCCCCTTTTCAATGTTGTGTCCCAAATAGATGGACATTTTGTTCTGAAACATGTTTGGATTTGAAAACCAACATTGATTAGGGTGGAGATGTATGGAAATCATCCTATATAGTACATTTTAGTTAAAAATGGTAAGTGTCCCAACTACTTTTGAAAATGATTGTCTGAAAGCTTAGTTAACAATATTGATTAAATTAAGGTGTTTAGTCAAATTACACCAACCTAAAAGAGTTATCATCACACTATGCTTTGTAAATTGTATATAGTTTTTCATTAATATTTATGTGTTCTCTATTTGCAGTTTATTTATTGGCAAATCATTGCTATAATTGTGGGAGCGATTGCAGAATACCCGTCCATTTTTTAAGCTACGACTTTCAAACCTCATGGATACGATGTGTTGATTATTTTAACTTGGGAACAAGGCAAGATGTGAGATATTAGTTTAAATAGGCCACATTCTCAGCATACAGTTAGTTTAAATAGATCAGATACTCAAGCTAGAGGTAGCTTTATATTTTAGTGGATACGCGGATACGTGGATACGCAGTGAACTGTTGATTTTAAGAACGAGGCATACAGTTAGTTTATATAGATCAGATACTCAAGCTAGAGGTAGCTTTATATTTTAGTGGATACGCGGATAAGTGGATACGCAGTGAACTGTTGATTTTAAGAACGAGGCATACAGTTAGTTTAAATAGATCAGATACTCAAGCTAGAGGTAGCTTTGTATTTTAGTGGATACGTGGATACGCAGTGAACTGTTGATTTTAAGAACGAGGCATACAGTTAGTTTATGTAGATCAGATACTCAAGCTAGAGGTAGCTTTATATTTTAGTGGATACGTGGATACGCAGTGAACTGTTGATTTTAAGAACGAGGCATACAGTTAGTTTAAATAGATCAGATACTCAAGCTAGAGGTAGCTTTATATTTTAGTGGATACGCGGATACGTGGATACGCAGTGAACTGTTGATTTTAAGAACGAGGCATACAGTTAGTTTAAATAGATCAGATACTCAAGCTAGAGGTAGCTTTGTATTTTAGTGGATACGCGGATACGCAGTGAACTGTTGATTTTAAGAACGAGGCATACAGTTAGTTTATATAGATCAGATACTCAAGCTAGAGGTAGCTTTATATTTTAGTGGATACGCGGATACGCAGTGAACTGTTGATTTTAAGAACGAGGCATACAGTTAGTTTATATAGATACTCAAGCTAGAGGTAGCTTTATATTTTAGTGGATACCGCGGATACGCAGTGAACTGTTGATTTTAAGAACGAGGCATACAGTTAGTTTAAATGTAGATCAGATACTCAAGCTAGAGGTAGCTTTATATTTTAGTGGATACGCGGATACGTGGATACGCAGTGAACTGTTGATTTTAAGAACGAGGCATACAGTTAGTTTATGTAGATCAGATACTCAAGCTAGAGGTAGCTTTGTATTTTAGTGGATACGCGGATACGCAGTGAACTGTTGATTTTAAGAACGAGGCATACAGTTAGTTTATATAGATCAGATACTCAAGGCATGGCTGTTTGACAGTTTATGATTAATTGGCATCTTGGTAAGAACATTTTTTCGAGAGCGTGACACACTTTGATAGTTGAGAGGCATAATGTTATAATTAGTCATTTAATAGATTACGTATCAAATGTTTTGCTACATATTTTAGTGGATACGCGGATACAAAGTGTAGTTTATTTGAGAATGAGGCATAATGTTATCACTATTTAATGAACTATTTCTCAAAACGGTAAAAGACCATAGCAAAGTATAGCTTTTAAATTATGTTAGTAGATATGCGGATAAATATGTTCGATATCTCAAATGTTAGATAATATTCCTGTGCTATTTTACATATATGAACACCTATATTTAAATAAACGGTAAAAGACAAAGCAGCTATAAAATTATGTTAGTGGATACGCGTATCGATATGTTCGATATTTCAAATATTCCAGTGCTAAAAATAATTTCTATGTCACATGTGCACACCCATATTGCTTATACTTGTTCGTCCGTTAGCAAATTCTGGCTGACAAGCAAACGCCGAATGCCTGCAGATATTGCCTTGTGGCAGGGACGATGATAACTGTTTTCAAAATCAGATCTTGTGCACAAAAAATCGCCTGGCCATTCAACAAACTGACCGGGTGTCTTCTTAACGAACACATGGGTTGGCTTTGGAGATCTAGCGACCCTTACGTTCATCGTCAGGCCAAAATCAGTGTTCAACTGCTGCGTCGCATTAAGGAATTCTTGAAGTGATATTCCTCTGGTCAAACGGGGGCCGCTTTGAACAAACGCTCTGTGTGTGACAACAGGACCTGGGAATAATAGAATTCCTGATTTCACGTTTGCTGTGCTTGGCTGCGGCCTTTCCGGATCACATGTATCGTTGGTTATGGACTTGAGGAACTGGAAAAAATATAAAAAAGAACTTTTTACCTTTCACTACAGTTATATATCTATCTAAAAGGATTAAAACTTATAGCTTAGGAAAACTGCCTATATGCATAAACTATTTTTAAATTAAGCGATCAGTAGGCATGGTATTTGAAGGATAGACCTAACTGGGGATCTAAACAAACCGTATTTAATTCTAGAGCAATAACTGTTGAAATTGTCTATAGTAATTACCTCATACAGCATATGTTTTTGCGTTTCGACATGATCGACATACAACTTGGCTTTTTCCAACGTGTCTTTGGTAATACGTGTAGGGATGATAACTTCGTGCCCTGCCAAGGCGCATTCCATAGTATGAAGAAGTACATGTAAAGTTGTAGCCATTCTAGGGAGCAGATCTAACTTCTTTGATTTGGGTGGTGTAGTTTCTCCATCGTTGATAGCATCGTTAACATCGCTGGTAAAGGCATCTCGGTCGTTTTTCATCGATTTTTCAGCCTCATCGTCAAAGCGGTATTCCATGATATTATTTGTGTGAAAGTGAACGAGCAAGCGAAAAACCTCATCGAAATTGTCATTGCACTCGGTGGACAGGTATTTAGAAATTAGAAATCGATCTAACAGTCCTTGTCCTTTGTCCATTCTCGCAACAAGTTTAGCGGCGTTAGGCATCTGAGTGCACCCAACGATAGAAAAAGGTGTGTTTTCTCTGATATCTCTCGCCTCTTTCGTCGCATAGTTAAACGAACTTCGTTCACCCGATAAGAGTTTGCATAAAACCATGGCATCACCCGAACATGTATCCTCATCCGACTTTAACAATTTATTTAGCACATCCGATACTTCTGGCGAAACGATAAACCCAGTTCCGTTTTTTGAGAGATGCTTTACCAAACCAGATGAAGTTGTTCGGTCAAGCAGGCAATCTTTCACGTCATCTTGCACGGCATTCTGCATGGGTTTGATACAACCATGTTGGATTGCCGCGGATTTGCCAGTACCAGGAAAGCCGACGAATACGGTGTACAGGTTAGTTGATTGAGCGTGATTAACTGTGTGAACAGAAGCTTTTGCTTTGCTCAGAAGATAGGACACCGTCGCAAGGATTGTTGGTACAAAATAGCCGAGACAACTGTTGACGCTTGTGGCTTTGTGCTTGATAAAACTTAGGATGTTTTCAGGCATGATCCTAGCGTAGTCGAAGGAAGCATCCGACAATCGTTTTTGGAGACGTGACCATGTTTTTTCATGCTGTCGTCCGATTTTAGTTATTGGATTAGAGGTTGACATTGTTAGTTTCTATATAGCTGAGAATCGTGAACGCGCAGATGAAAGGTTGGGTGAGAAAAAGGCCAAAGATTGTTTGTTTGCGCTTTTGTATGATGTGTAACATGACTGGTGTAACGGTGTAATGTTACTTACAACACAATGGTGAGTTTTATTTGCATAAAAAGCTTGCGGCATGGCTGTTTGACAGTTTATGATTAATTGGCATTGTTGGTTGATAAAAACATTTTTTCGAGAGCGTGACACACTTTGATAGTTGATATATTTCACGATACAAACTTCTAAAGCAAGGTCTGTACCATATGGAGAAAGGGATTCAAGTTTGTGTCAGGAAGAAGGAAATTAGTAAAACGAGTTCGCAGTCCCAAACTGAGTGGACTACGGTATCTACACAGGATGCCGGTACACAATACCTTAGTGAGGGTAAAAGCTACGAAAAATATCGGCAAAGCAAAACTGACATTAAGTGGACGTATGATCGGCTCAAAGAAGAAATATTGGGTAACAAAAACAGACTGATTGGGTGGCTTATGGACGAAAAGATAATTGCGAGAAAGAGGAAATGCGGACATTGTGGTGAAATGATGAAATTAGTCAATGCGAATGACCGATCAGACGGTTTGAAATGGGAATGTAGGAAGCAAATGAACAGAAAGCAACACAAGGTTGAGGTCTCAATTCGAAAAGACAGTTGGTTTGAGAAAAGTAATCTTACACTTGAAGAGATTGTGAAATTGACATACTGGTGGTGTAGAGGGATAAACCAAGAAGATATCCGACACGAAGTTAACGTGAGCGAACATATGGCAGTCAATTGGGACAGTTTTTGTCGTGAGATTTGCGAAGTAACGCTTTTAGAAAGAGCACAAAAAATCGGCGGACCGGGGAAGACCGTGCAAATTGATGAGAGTAAGTTTGGAAAGAGAAAGTATCACAGAGGACACAAAGTTGAAGGACAATGGGTGTTTGGAGGAATCGAGGAGGAGTCACACAGAAGTTTTATGGTTGCAGTTGAAAAGCGAGATGAGAAAACCTTATTGCCAATAATCCAAAACCACATAGCCAAGGGTACAACGATTATCTCAGACTGTTGGAAAGCATATGTTAACCTTGAGAAGCATGGATATGTGCACAAGTGTGTAAATCACTCGAAAGAGTTTGTAAACGAAGATGGGGATCACACAAATAAGATTGAAGGTCACTGGCGCCAGGCTAAGGCTAAATTGCCCAAATTTGGTGTAAGAAAGTGTTTGTTTTCATCCCACTTAGCTGAGTTCCTTTGGCGCTATGAACATAAAGGAAAGGACCTATTTGAGACATTCCTCATAGATGCCAAAAATATATATGGAAATTTTTAGACGCCCAAACTCATGTAACAGACAGTTCGATTGTTTGACTTCAAAATAGACCACATAATTGGGATATAGGTTTTGTTAAGGGATCGAACATTGGACTGGCATAATACTAGTAGTTTTAATACAACTTATTACCGGGGATAAATTTATATATAGGCCATACATGTATATTATTTATTGTAGCATGTACTTTAGTAGACATATAATTGATTTTCATATAATAATAAAGCGTGCGCATTAAAACGTTTGAATATCATTTAATATTATAGTTCGTAAACAAAACGATAAGCGAGTTTGTACTCGATTTAATTATAAGCCACGGTTACACGGGAGTTTATACGAATTTCGGATCGTACTCAAGTCCATATATATACTTTCGAACACAAGGATTCGTGCAATTCCTGTGTGAACAGATGAACCAGACAGAATTGACCACGACCGAAATTCGACTGGTCTCATGAAAACGCAATCGAAGTTGTTCGGATGTTTAAAAATAATCAAACAATAAGAAACGACAACAAGCATTGTACAGCGTTGTTAGCGACAACAAGCAATATAAACTCAGGTAAATATTACTAACATTAAGGCTAGTAATAAAAACCTAATTACCGCTGACCTATTCATTGCATTACAATTTTCGACTGCGTATCCGCGTATCCAGTGAAATAATGGGTATGTTATTTGCATGAGTGGTGGACGGGTATTCTGCAATTTAGCCTAATTGTGCTGTAAAATAAAAGTAAAATTTACTATATGAAATGTATCAGCACAATCTATAGTAGAAGAAAGTGTTTGCATTAAGACATTATTACTGGCATTTGCAAGAGATGAATGCACATTTATGTGCTAAACTAGCAAATTGTATTCTAAGTGAGTAGGAGGCAAAGGTGAGCTGATAAACAGCATGTACAAACCGTGCATATTTGATGCAAATAGTTGAATGTGACGTGCATATGTGGTTTAATATGTCATCCTATATACAATAGTGGGTCAGGCATACATGTCACCATATTATATAGGATAAACCGTTTCCTTTTTGTATAATTGCCAAAATGGTCTCTGTACAAAAGATTTCTGAAGAAATGCAGGCACTTGTTCAATTCTTAAGTATGGTACATTTTGTTTTACTTGAATGGAGTTTCGTTTGTATTTAAGCGCCAACCAATACATGATGCTACTGCCCCAGTGATTTATTAGCGTATTCCAGCTTTGTTTGCACCTCGCTCAGCTCTTTAGCAGTATCGATGGCCTTGTTCACTATCTCAGGCCCCTGTAGAACTCTTCAAGGTCTGTCTTACCTCTTCTTGCCATTTAGCTGCCAATGCCATCAGTTCCTGACGTGTCTTTGTTTGTTCTGTATTATGCGAACAACGTCAAACATGGCCAGTCGTTTTCGTTTTTTCCCCTTGCAAATCTTTCCTGCTTTCTTTTGTTGCCGTGACCATTTGTAGATGGCGGTGTTGTCCTGAATTTGCCAGGTCTGGATGGCCTGGTATGGTGTCGTATCCCTGCCAAAATTCCAACTTTCTATTTTAGATACAACTTTTTTATTTGACATCCAAAATACAACTTTTTCCATTTTAAACACAACTTTTTTCCTTTTTTATACACAACTTTTTAAATTTTATATTCAAGTTTTTGTATTTTATTTTCATGTTTTTCATGTTTTTGTTTTAAACTTTTTACTTTCAACCGCAATCCATTACCTTAACAAGCCCGCAGGTGCAGTTTTACCACTGACCAAACTCCTACGGGCGCACCCACTTCTTTTTCGCCCGGTAAATTTCCATATTTGCATGCCAATTTATAATAAAACAGTTTTTGAGGCGTTTTCATCTTCATATACGAATGGACAGATCGAAACTTAACAAAGTACTGGCAACGTTATAACGAGTTGCGAATGACATATCTATGCTGGCATCTAACAACGGGACTAATTTGCCGTCAACCTGTGCAGCAGGTATTAAAATATATGTTAATGTCATGTCATCCCCCTTGACTTGCCTATACCCCACTGAAAGCTTAGGTAGTATATCTTTTTTGACACACTTTCTTCTTTAGCACTGATTAACTGATTATTGGATACTAAGATTTCGAGTATTTTTGCTATGAGCAGAGGCGAGACCTTTAGTTGGGGGGGGGGGAGGGGTGTTTAGCAGAATTGCCCTGTCAAAACCTCTAATGCTCTGAGTAAGCCTAATTTTTTGTACCTTAGTTCCTGACAGGGAGGTGGGGGAGGGGGGCAATGGCTAAAACTAATCCAGATACATAATAGTATTTCAAATTCATTTACTAAAGAAATTTTTGCATTTTCACTTCAAACATGTGTCCGGAAAGTCAATGTTGTAAGAAAAATATTTCATCTTCCAAGGATGGGGGGTGCCACATACTCAAACCTCCCTCACTTTTTCCTCTGTACATGGGGGTTCACATTTCTACACATACCACACATGTATTTAATTTTTATACTTTTAATGTTGCATGCTTATTTGCTTACTTTCTTTTAATTGTTATCTTTTCTATTCCTAATTTACATTTATTGTTTGTATGGTACTTAAAAGATTTTTATAATGGTTTTAATTAAGTTACTTTCAATAAATGTGGTTTCTTATGGCTGAATGGTTTACATGGGTGTCTCTAAATCCTCAGAATTGAATGTTAATAGATAAGGATACTATTTTAGAATTACAATGTATACCCCAACATACCTTTTCTGTAAACATTACAGGTATAGACCAAACCAACTTTCTTGAAAATAGTAATCATAGGTCACATAATAACAGTGGTCTGACCCTGACTTCATATGATGCTCTTCAGTCAACCTCGAGTAGCAATCAGACAATGCCAATATCAACAATCAGTCAGTGGTTTATCAGCCATTTCAGAGCACAGAAGATTATTCAATTTTGGGAAGAGAAGGCAGTTGCCATCACAACAGAAAGGATTGCAAAACAAGAAGAAAAATAATCATGTACATTAAAGTTTGTTTGCTTATCTTCTACAAAGGCCAGAATTCCTCCATCCAGTGTTGAGGAGAGAACAGAATTATGTAATGCAGGCCTTGATGACACTAGTTAAAGATGGAACTGAATGATGATAGTTCATATTTTTATGAAAAAGTTGTAGAATGCTATCCAAAGCTTACAGTGGCAGGTGGGTTCCAAAGCTTACAGTGGCAGATCTGAGTTTTTGTTGTTTCAAAGAGGTGGTGGAGAGGATGGTGGTTTTCATGCAAAAGCCCACCACATACAAGCACCCATTTGAGAGATATCTCTGGCCAAGCAAAAATATATATCAGGCCTCTTCAACAGGATATATGCACAAAGGATGATACTGAGAGAGATGAACTAGATATGTCTGTACAGTAAATGTATTATTACATTTTTTTATTATTTGTACCCCACATGCCACAAGGGTGGATTACAGAGGTGTAATATTCTATTACAATTCCCTCTTTGGGGAAGGGAAAGCAAGAAAGGTCTGGGTCTCAGAGAGGAAAATGACCCATTTGCCGGTTCCCAGTCTCCCTCGAATTTAGGTGGTTTTCGCAATGCACTCTGGGATCGCTAGGGGGCAAACATTGCTTATTTTTTATCGAAAAACCTGTCTACATAAGTTTACATCAAAATTCTAATGGGAAAAGTGGATTACTGTGCTGTTTATGGTTGCAATAATGATAGACGATATCCAGAGAAGTATATAATTTGCAATCAGGTTGGTACTCTTCGCTTTTTTTTTCCCAAAAACACAAAAGACAAAAATGCTTGGCAAAAGCTTATCAACAGGAAAGACTTCAAAGTCACTTGTAATACGAAGGTTTGTTCAAATCATTTTCTCACTGGTTATCGCTCCGAAGATTGTCCAAATCCAACTTTGTACCTCAAAAGATAGCAAAAAGAAGCCAGTAATAAAAGAATGCCAGCGAAAGATAGAAGCGAACTAAATATTCCCAAAAGAAAGAGGCGAAAAATTCGTGATGAAGTCGCTAGTGAGACAATCCCAGAACCTGAGGACAATACACCTTCTACAACTGATATATTGGTTCTTAAAAACTGTAATAAGCAAGAGACTGTGGACCCCTGAAATGGTAGAAATTCAGAGAGACTTATATGCGACAGATAACAAACATTATTCTGATGACAAAGGCTGTGAAAGTGACAATGTTGATTGTGAGTGTCAAGGTGATCTGAAAGCTTTGAAAAGAAAATTATTTATTGAACAAGCAACTAGCCACAAAAATTGCTACCGCTACACTGGGTTATCAAAAAAAAAAGCTCAGCTTGGTTTTCAGTTTGATTGAGGAGAAAGCAAAGAAACTGAGGTATTGGAGAGGTTCTACAGATACTGCCTCTGCGCAACCTGTTAAAAGAGGGCATATGTGTCAAGATTATCGACACCATGGGAGGAATTCATTCTTACCCTTGTCAGGACAAGAAAAGGGTTCGATGTGACATTTTTAGCAGATACATTTTCTGTTTCAGCCTAGCCATGTTTCTCGGATTTATACAACATGGGTGATTTTCCTATCTAATGAGCTGTCATTTTTAGTACCTTGGCCATCTAAGTCAGAAATAAAGAAGAAACTACCTAAACGATTCAAGAAATTCAAAAATTTACGGATAATTATTGACTGCACAGAATTTTTTATCCAAAAGCCAAAGGTTCCTGACAGTCAGAAAATATCATGGAGTAGCTATAAACATTGGAATACTGCAAAACTCTTGGTGGGTATTACACCTACTGGCATTTTTTCCTTTGTTCCACCATTGTGGACTGGTTCAATATCAGACAAGGAAATTGTCAGAAATTCTAGTCTGGTGAATCTCCTGGAGGAAGGTGATGGTGTCATTGCTGATAAAGGATTCCTTGTAAGAGATTTACTTGTGGTAAAGAAAGTTCACCTTCTATCACCTGCCTACTGTCGTGGACCAAGACTTTCCTCACGTGGAACAACTCATACTCGACGTGTTGCATCATTAAGATCTCATGTTGAAAGAAGTATTATGAAACTTAAACAATTTAGAATTTTATCAGGAGTGAT